CCCGATTGGCCTGCCTCTCAGCCCTAAGATGTTGATCCCTTAAAGCCATCAAATTCTCAAAGAATGAGAGGAATGACTCATACTGCACCTTGGTCATTTGCTTGGACATGAATAACTCAAATAAAGCTTTCTCAGCATCTTCAAATGCCTTAAGACTGAAGGAGGCAAAAAAGTCCCGCTACATCCATGCTTTGAAAATCCTGCGTTGATCTTGAAGGTGTTGGGATTCATAATGACGCCTTGGGGATCTCGACATAGTCCTAATTTGCTAGAACTCTCTAACTAGCTAGGGCAAAGAAGCTGTGGCTGGGAAAGAAGACAATGGTAGGGGCATGACACCAGCACCACCATAAGTAGTAGTACCAGTGGCAATTTTGCAGTGGCAGCAGTGGAAGAGGAAGAGGATCCAGTAGCAACCACCTTCCTAGGCCTAGGACTTAGGACCCCTGAAGGTCCAATAGCCTAAGGTGGAAAGGGAACCATTTTGCTCACAACAGGCTGAGAAGGCTTGCCCAAACCCTCGCCAGAAGCTTATCAAATTGTAGAAATAATAGGTTGGAATGATAATCTTAAACCAAATAAAATAAAATAAAAAATAAAAAAAGATAAGTTGGTAAGTTGAATATACCTTAGCTGGACCATGAACCTTAGAAAAAAAGGCTTTTGCTATAGCTGTTTTGGGAAAAGATGGCTGGCTTAATAAGGATGGAACATGAGAGCTCCTGAGGCTAGTCACCTCTGAGACAACTGGTATCTCAAGGACTGTTGGTTCCTTAGCAGCAAGTGTGGGAAGCTTAGCATCTTCTGGAAGAGGTAAAGACTAGCAAGGGCTGAATTCAAAACATAAGTTCAAAATCAAAAGATAGAAAACATAAGATGGCTAAAGGAAAGAAAACTTACAGAGGTGATATCGTCTTCTACATAATGAAACAATTATCGAGTTGCAAGGTTGAATTAAGAGGTGGGAGTCACGACTATGGCTGAAGGAATTTGGGAAGGAGATGGAGTAAGTGTTTGCTGAGTTACAGGTGTTGGAGTGCTTTCCTTGTCTAAAATAGCAAAAGTCAGTTTAGAAGTTGGATCTTAAGGATTCAAAAAGTAACGAGGTTTGAGGAAGAAAAGATACCTTTAAAGGCTTAGCCCGAGAAGGAGAAGCTTGCACAGGTCGAGCTAGAGGTGAGGAAGGTTTTTCCTGGAAATTCCCTCTGCCTTGGAAACCTACTTTGGTAAAACCAATTAGAGTTGGTATAGGAGAGTTAAAAATGGATGAGAAAATGGATATTGAGTGTTCAAAATAAATAACTACCTTTAATTCCTCCAAAATCTTGGACATAACTTCCTTGTCACTTTGTTGCCCCTTCTCACTGGCCTTCATCCCCTTGGGAGAAGAGTCAAGCTTCTTACTAGCAGGAGGTCCTAATCATAAAGTAAAATTCAATAAGTTTGATATTTATGAAAAGGGAGCAGAGTGGAGAAATTTAAAGATAAAGTGCTTTCTTGTAAACTTTTGTTTTTTCCCTGCCCGCTTCAGCTAGAAAGGCAATGAGAGATTGAGAAGTTTGAGAGGTTTGGGACCTAGTTCTTTTTCTAGTTGGGGTTGCTCTAGGAGTAGGGACATCATCACTAGCTTTGGTCCTCTTATCCTCGGGCTCTGAATCAGAAGATTCTACAACCATTGGCTTTGCCCAATAAGATATTCTGGTTTCTACCTTTGGTCTAGCCTCTGCCTCAGATTCGCTGAACATCTCAGAGATGTTTTCAGCTTCTCCAAGAGTTTGGCTCGGGCCAACTCCCTGCCTAGTGGCTTCAGCAGCTGCTTCTTTTTCCTCGTGCCCGATGACTGCTTCAGCAGGATTGCCTTGGGTTGTAGAATTAAGAAAACAAAGTTAACATTTGATAAAATCAAGCAATTAAAGGAATGAGTTAGGAAGATAAGTCACCTATCAGCAGAAGTTAATTTTTTGCGTTAATAGCTTTTTTCCATCTCTCTAGTTCTTCTTTTTTGGGAAGAGACTTGAAGAAGACTTGCCCGAATAACCTGTCATGGGCTTCCTTGATATCCCCTCCATATTTGTTAAACCACTTGGCTTCCCACCAATTGGTAAACAGAGTTGTACACTCAAAGTTAAGGGTAGTAGGCTTGTGTGCGATTTTGGTCATCATTTCCAGGCTACGCCTGCTTGCCCAAAATGTGACCTCGAAGAGGGAGCAGATGTGATAAAAGGTGCCACAGTGCATTGAGTCAAAGAAAATGAGGGGGATGGCCTGCCTAAATCCCAACTGCCTACCACAGAAATTGGGGTGGTAAACCTCCAGCCTGCGTTTATAGCCAGCTAGATCACTCATCACTCCCCAAGCTAGGTCTCTTTGCTGGATGCAGCTGATGAACTTCTCCTTACAATATCTCCTGGCATTCGCCTCGAATGAATCTTGAAAGAGATTGTCAGAGAACCAATGATACCTTTTAAGCATAGAGGCACCTCATTTAGGATCCGTTATGGTTCTGCAAATCTTGAAGAAATAGAGGCAGGAGAAGGTTGAGTGGCTGGTAGCTAAAGCCTCTACCAGAATTAGGGCAGGAGCTACCCCTTCAGGGAATTCCAGGTTTGAAGCCCCGAAATTCTGGAAAGTACCATTGGAGCCAGATTTGGATTATCCAGGTTGCTCCATTAAGATTTGTCTCAGAAGGCTCCCCATTAATCATCTTATAAAGCAAGTGATAGAGGTGAGATAGGATGAAGGGCCCTGTAGCAACATTATCCAAGGAGTGCAGAGCTTCTACCAAGGGGTGCAGAGCTTCTACCAAGGGGATCCATTCCAACTTTACCCCCTTAGACTTGTTAGGGAACACCCACTTCGACCAAGCTGCATCTATCATAGAACGAAATTCCCTTTTGAAGTTTGACCATTTGCAACCAAGATGCCCTCCTCAGCTTCATAAAGGTTAGGAGTGAACCATTTCTTAGCAAGCATGTTACTTTCCACGGCAATAGGGACTCTAGAGGTCCAAGCAGGTCCTAGTGAGTGGGCCTCATCTTCATGGAAGAAAATAGGGAGATTGAGGCTAGCCTGAGGGCAATGAAGGCCGTTAAGCCAACGGCAAAGATTGCCAATCCCTTTTTCAAACTCGTATGTAGAGCGCGATTTAGGGGCCATTGTTGAATTCAAAGAAGGATGAAGAAAGTGGCTCGAGTTTAAGTTAGGGAAAGATCGAAAATTCAAGAAAATTTGGCGGTTTTGAGAGTTAAGCTTGTTAAAGGTAATGGCTGAAAAGAGTAAAGTGGAAGCTATATACAAGTAGGTAGTTAACGTTGGAAGTTGTGGGTTAGTGCAAAGGTTTACTTAAAATGGCTAAGTTAATTGGCGCTAATACCCAGTCTTGGCAAGCGTTCAAATTTAATCATTATCAATGTCTTGATTAGCATACTTAATAATGATTAAAAAGGGCACTGTTTGGGTGGGTATTTAATATTGGGCTCAAATCAAGTGAAGGCCAAAGCGTTAAGTAAAACAGAAAGGGATTGGGCTGGGACAGGTGGCAGCCTAGGGTGAAATTAAAACCATTTTCTGGCAGCTAATAGGCAGCAAGCCTATGTCAAGTGACAAGCAACAGAGGGCAGCTCACCCTCAGCAAAAAGTACTTTTCCATGGCATGGGTAGGTACTTCAAACCTTATGTCATTTCCAATTATTTTTGCTCAGGTTTTAGTTATAATTAATCTTGTCAAACTAATTATTGTCAATTTAAACTAATAACTAAGAAATTAACTTGAATGACCTTGAACTCCTTTATAAATGAACATATGATACTATAAATAAAAGTCCTTTGTCAAAAGGCATCAAAAAGAACTTAGTACAGACTTAACCCATCTATGAACAATCCCGTTAAGACAAGAAGTACAAATAACTTGTGGTGCAAGTAAACAACTAACTAAGCAACCAAGAAAACAATCTGTTAAATAAAGGTATCAGTGGCACGCTCGAATCTCTATTAGTCTTGATTGTGAGCCTGAAGGCCTAACAAAGACCCCACAAAGGCACCTCTCAAACTAATTCCAAATTTATGTTGCAGAGAACCAAACATCAAACTCTGCCCAATGAGAAAGACCATGGGAGTTATGCGAGGGACAAATCTAGCCCGAACAAACCCTAAGGTTCTGTCTCGGGTGGCTCTCTTTGTAATCGTCGATCTTGATCTCGATGGAAATGTACTCACAGATTTTGATTTTGTTGCTGTGGCTAAGATCCAACGACGTGTTTAGAGGGACCTTGGTGCCATTCAAAATAGTGCCATTGGAGAAGTCGAGGTCTCAAAACATCCATTTGCCTGGTTCAGATTTGATGGAGAGGCGCTTGGAGGAAATGTTGGAGTCTTTGATCAGGAGGTTGTTGCAGCGTTCGTCGCGATTGATTCAGACCTTTGATTTGAGTCAGAAGTTTCGAGTGTCGCCCCTTCCAATTATGAAATCCCAGGTCATGGAGCATTTTCAACTTGCGAGCTAAAGGCTCCATTGTCTCTCTGAGTCCGAGATAAGAAAGGAGGGGAAACACTATTTGAAATGCTTTTCTGTTTTCAGAGTGAATATATCAAAATGTCACAATGGCGACAAACCAATTCTACGTAAATCTGATTCCTAATTGAGGGGAAACAAGCACATATAGCCTTAGTAGGAAGGTAGAGTGTTAGACTTCATCATTAGTTAGCCACCTATACCTATGCAGTTCCACTCGTGTGAGAATTGCCCTAGTCAAGTAGAGCTTCCAAATATCTTCTCAAGTTGGGAGATAGGTAGGAGACTCACTATAGAGTCTCTAGAGTTGAGTCAGTCGACTATCTTACAGATAATCTGAAAATACACAATATGGTAATTTTACCCAATTCACTCCTTTTGGTTTATTTCTAAGTATAAAGCAGATTTTCTGAACATGTTTCCTACAGAGAACACTTGTAAGTTGCAACACGTATGAATAGGAAAAGGACATTGTAAGTTGCAACACGTATGAATAGGAAAAGGAATCATCGCTGCATACATATACCATCACTACAAAAAATTGCACTTAACTTTCAGTTTGCAAGGTTCCAATGTACTCCAAGATGGCACAAACCGACAATGCGACCCACGATTTGCCATGAGACAACAATGGTCTATACAAGTCTTATCTGTTAAAAGCACTCTAAACGTGATTTGAATCAGGAAGAAGGGCTGAACATCAACTAGGGTGGTGGATACACAATTTCAGACTTCAGAAGGAAGAACGACATCACAGCTGGATCTGTTGGTTAGAGGTTGACCCCCATCGGAGGCTTGTCTGGAACACAGGTACCTGATCGAACAATGATGAAATGCTACCAACTGCAATGCATACATGGAAATTACATAAAAACGAGGAAAATAATGCATTAGCTCCATCTCCATCTCCATTTCATGGTACAAGACATAAAATGTTGAAACAAGAACTGCTGTTAAATATAACATGTCAATAAATCATAAGCACAAAATAGACTCGGGTCTGTATTTGAAAAAAAAAAATGCAAGTTTGGGTATAAATCACTCAGCTCATTCAATCCTGACAAAGTCCAGATAGAGAATTTCATATTTATAATCATGTCACTGCCCCATGTACGTGTGATAAAGCATATGGCATAGACAAATTATTCCCAAGTGTAGCAGTACTACAAATTACTCTGTTTGGTAAATGGCTACAACTTATGAAAAGGGAAGAAACTATGCAAGACAAATTTCATGAGATAGAAACTCTAAGTTACAAAATGAAAGCGGCAAAAGGATTCAAAGAAAAACAAAGTCAATTGGTCAGATTGCATCAGGTTATCAAACATCTGCTAGTTTTGACATAGGAAATCAAGTATTGTAACAAGAATTGGTAGAGACAGGATGTTGATTTTATGTTCATACTTCGTACAAACCTGACAATCGATACAATGAAATGTTGAACCATTCACCCAAAGGAAAAGAAAAACAAGTTTGTTTGACAATTATGACGAGATGGTCAGAAAGTAATGCCAGCCCTAATAACTTAGACGCACCTGTCTTTGACGTCTATTTTGTTCAATTTGGAACAAATTTAACAGCAAATCTATAATGCAATGCATGGAGAGCAACAAAAAGAATGTCATGGTTCACAAGAAGCCCTGTTATGCACTTCTTGTTGGAATTTTTAGATCGACGGGCCCGGGTTTTGAAACTGGAACTTCAAGCTTAGTGGGAAAAAACGTATGCAAGATTTCATCGGTAAGATATCAAAATGATCAAACCAAACTGCAGGTCCTAGAAATAACATGTATAACTAAAAATATCCGGAGACAAGTTGCTAAGATATCCTGCTATTGCAACTAGAGTGGTCTTGGCAAAGCAAGATTTGAACTAAAGACATGGAAAAGGGCTATAAAGCGTACTTAATATAGGGCCAGCTCTTCCAAAACATACTGTTGGAAGGAAAGATAAACGTTAGTCAATTATTCGTACATAAAATCGTCTAGGTACGGGCATGTATTTAACTTAGATAAAGAAAGTTCAAAATATTTTGATACAATCAGAAAACTATAAAGTTGCAAGAAAAGGTATATGAGTACTAAGAAGACCATAACATGTCTACATATTCTGTACACCATTCACATGTGCGCGGTATCACGCTACACATTATGCTTAGCAAAAATTCTCTGCAACTGGGAACGGATGGAGGTAAACCACATTTGATACAGTCAAATCAAGAATTCTATTAAGACACCTCTACAATGAATTTATATTCCGAAAACGGATGAATATCACAAATAACAATGAAGTAATCAAATTGAAGGATATCAATTAAAACCCTAACTTCCCTATTGTAAGCAATTAAAATCCAAAATTCCAACCAAAACCCAACAAAATTCCAAAATTTAATTTCAACAAAACCCAGAAGAAGAAAAAAAGGAAATCAATTCCAACCCACCCCATAAAATTGGAGAGGAACAGTCACATAATGGTGTAATTCCCACTTGGGTCAGCATCATCGGAGAGCAGAGCCCCATACGGCGATTCTTGGTCGTCCATCACAAGGCCCTCCGTCCCCCTAAACACCGCGTGCAACCCTATCAAAACGACCCCAATCACACCCGAAACGATGACGTTGAGCCACACGTGAGTGAGGACCAGAGCCACCACCGTCACCAAGGCAAGAACAACCATCACGACCCGGTCCGGGACCGCAAACCCGAACACCTCGAGGGGCTGGTCACGCGAGAAGTAGAGTACGAGCCACGCGGCGAAGACGATCAAGAAGACGATGATGGAGAACGGGTGGTAGAGGAGGCTGAGGAAGAGCACGATCAGGGCGATCAGGGCGTAGTTGGACCGGAAGTGGGTCAAGTTCTGGGCGAGTCGGGTCGTCGCGGCGGAGAGATTGGAGGGGAGTCTGAGTGCGGTGGGTTCCAGGAGCTCACCCCATGGCCGGAGCGTGGCCCTCGCCGATTGGGTGGCTTCCTTGAACTGGGACACCATTCCGGCGGACATGCGAGATGAGTTTCTCCGAAAGCTTTGAACTTTCGTGGCGGAGATTGATGGAAATCAGAGAGAGATGGGGTTTTTGTGTTTCATTTGGTTCAGTCTCTCGAATGGCGGAAATGGCTTTCGCTCGACGGAGTTGACCTATGCTTGGACTGGACACTGTTAGGCGAAATGGTTTGTGTATCTCAAGAGTGAAAGTTGGTTCATATTTTTGGGCCGAACGTATTGGGTTGGGCCTGATTCCTGCACATGGGGTTGGACGAACAACCAAGGTTTCAGGCTTGGACAAGATCTGGGCATATAATAATATAAATTAAAACTTGGAAACAAACAGCTTTAAAATAGATTGGTGTTGGAATCTTCGGCCGTCAGAGTTTCATCCTGGCAGCCCTTCGGGTGGCGGCCTTTGGAATAGATTTGTGGCATTCAGCATGAAGGTTAGGGAGAGAAACTTGTGAAGTAGGTTGTACCAATTCATATGCTTTTAATGTTCATATTTTGGAGACAATGTGGATCTGCGATTTTGGTGAGGGTTCTGGTGGCGGTTGGCTGGATTCCATGGTGGCTAGCGGTAGCAGCTTTCGTTCATCAACAGGGGACTATTTTAATTTTGTCTTTTCATGTAGTGTCTTTCTGGACCTGCATTATTTTTGTCTTGTTGCGTTAGTGTTTGGGCTTCGAATACTGGGTTTGGGTTGAGGAGAGATAACTCGGGTTGAAAGATTGTGATTCTCGGCCCAATGACGAGTTTTTAGGCCATATATGGTTTTGCCCAGAAGAATGTAATTCGACCGAGTCCTAACTCAAGTAGGGCTCTTAAGGATTAGATTTAGGCGTGACTCGGTCGAGTTATGATTGAATTGAAATTGTTAAGGATCAGAATAATTTATTTATAAGATTCAAATTATTCCAGGAATCAAAACGTGTGACTAATCAGATAAGAAGTGAATCGAACGCATAAGAGGACCAAGTTTAGAGTCCTAGTTCAAGTAAAAAAAGGTCGAGGCTTGATAGAGATACAGTTTCGGGCGGAGAGGGGTATGATGAGATAATATCAACAATATCTAGATGTGTGCCGAATAGTCATAGTCCTATTGGGACAATACTTTGGCCTAATTGGTCACCACGAACTTCAACCCTATAAACAAAAAAAGGATCTTCAACTCAACAAACAAACAAATGCTCTGCACAAAACCTCGCTTTAAGCGAATCTTTCTCACACTTTGAGAAATTACTAATTACCTTAACCCCTCTATCAGCATACCTTAAGTTTGTAGTAACAACATTGTGCTGACAACCAGCAATATCTTTGGTTTGGATTACTAGCACTGGAGCTGTTGAATCATTAGATCGACCAAGAAGTATCTTTAGTTTGGATTAACAACATAACTTTGAGTTCGATTGGTTACCTATCTAAGTATTTGCCAATGAGAAGTCATTGTTCATTCACTAAACAAGGTCACTTTGTTAGGTTTCTTGGTGAAGTGAGGTGTTATCTAGGTTACTCAGTGTTTAGCACATTTAAAGCCAAACTTTTATTAAACTTCACAGTGATTTAGCAACCTTCTCGTGAGATTCTAGAACCCAAGGTCGAGACGTGTTCTTTTGTTGCCGTGATCGTTTGAGTACAAAAGTCAATAGCACATTCAACACCACCACATCTATTCTACTCGTCAACCAAGCTTGGTCGCAAGTTGGCACGCCCACATTCACTTGAAAGACGTAGTTAACTCTTAGTTGCTCAATCTACGCGCCACGCAAGCTTAGTGGTTTTTGGAGGGAATAGTCCGTTTGTGGCTAAGCTTTTTAGTTGAGCTGAGCTGTGTGTAATCTCCTTTTCTTCTAATAAAAATCTTGTTAAAAACAGAAGCTTTAGAATAGATGAGAGAGAAAATAATATTCCTTACAGATCCTCGTTAATTGGAATTGATCATCTACCATGTTTAAAGTACATTGAAGTAATATTATTTTTGGGACATCAAAACAATGGCTTTAATGAACCGTGTGGAGTCAAAATGCACAATATCAGGAAATAAGATTATCTCCTCTCCTCTTTCCATTTTCTTTCATTCTTCTCTCATACTTTCTATTTTATCTTTTTTTTTCTATAAAAAAAATTAATATAAAATGTTGACATTGTAAGACAGGATGGAAAAAAAAGAAAAAAAAAGAAAAAAAAGAATCCTTCTCCCAATGTCAGAGTGATCAGAGCCACATGGCAGAAGCAGAAGAAGGATTATGGATGCATGCAGCTTTTACGTTTCTATTCTATTATGAGAATAGGACTTGTCAACTTTTTGCCCCCTTTTCTTTCAATTTTGCCCTTACTTTTGAATACATAATGTTGACATGAGAAGGGCAAAATATTAATTTTGTATCTTTTGAACTTTTCCCCTTTTTTTTCTATTTTGCTCTCACTTTTGATACACAATATTTATATAAGAAGGGCAAAATAGTAATTTTATATCAAAATATTTACATAAGATAAAAAATATGCACTTATAAGATAAATTGTTCCACCATCATTTTTTCATACAAGTAAGTGAAATCACGATGTTTTTTTTAGATAATTTGAATGAACTGAAACAGTTGTGCTTGAGAAGAACGTGAAGTGAGGTAGGAAGTTATTCACACACACAGTGTGCTCATCTGCTAGTTTGTATAATCAAAACATGTGTTCCTTAGACACCACATCAAGCAGCAGATTCCCCCACTTCGGGAAACGTTAGTTTTCCATTGTTTTTGTTTTTTTATAATTTAAGAGATAGAGTGGATGGGACTACGTGTCGTGTATGAAAAGGAGAAGAAGAAATATATCGATTGTGAATGTATTTACAATCCAGAAATTGGGACCACATAATGAAAGAAGGATTCCACTTTCGTGTCTATATCCTCGTCTGAAAACAAATTTGTTGTTTTGTAAAGACATTTATTATGTTGAATTACTAAGACCTATGAAGGTAATTTTCGTTTTTAACGATATTGTTCACATTAAAGAGATAAATTAAGAACAATACTTACATACTTAAAAAAAAAAAAAAGTTCCTATCCAAAATTATTCGATATCGATTTATAGAACTTTGTTTTTATAATCAGAATCGTTCATTTATAAATCACTCTGTAAAGATTCCCTTTGTAAAAAGATCAATTAAAACTAAGGTCGTTTAATCATCGAACTGTATAAAAACAAATGAACGGAATCGATAAATGCATTACGAACCGTCTATGTATTTGCTAGAATAAATTAACTAAATGATCTTAGTTTTAATTCATTTTTTACAAAGATGATGTTTACAGTGTGATTTATAATATGAACAGTTCTGATTATAAGTACAAAACTCTGTGATTCAAACACGAAGAGTTTTGAGTAGAAGTTCTTAGTTATTTTTAAGTAGCCAAATATTATTCATAAATTAATAGGTTAAGTCTTACAATAGACAAGTAATAATGTGGTTCAAATTTTTCTTTGACGAGAATCAAATCTAAAACCTCTAACTTTCAAGTGAAGAGAGAAATACCATTGAACTGTAAGAGTAAGTGGGATCAAAACTCATGTTTTGGGATTAAAAACAAAAATAAAAAATTTCACATACACAAAGTGTGTAGGCATATACTAGTATTATTTAAAAGGTTCTCATTTTTTAACCAAAAAAAGTCGTCATTTTATTAATCTCTACTAATTAATAAAACAATTATTGTCAACCAAAATCCTATAAAATTACCAGTTTAACCCTCTAATTAAAACACATAACATGAATAAGAAATATGGGGTAGAAATGTAATTTCACACAACCAAATTTTGCTATTTTTTTTCAAAGCCTCACCTACATGTAATTCTAACATATTTCTACTTAAAATTCAAAAAAAAAAAAAAAATCCCACCCCCACATTTTCTATCACTCTATTCCTCTCTCCTTTTATTTCAAAAAAAAAATAAAAAATTTTCTCATACACTTTGTATGTGCCCATATACTAGTATAATATTATTTGAACAAGTGTTAATCATGCTTTTTTCTTCTTTATAAACAAGCGAGAATAGAGAAAATTAAACCTCATGCCGGGTCTTATGTTCGTGTGATATTTAATTCAGATTAAAGTGCGATGTTCGAAATAAAAAATGATTTTCACGTTCATTATAATTTTTTTTATTTATAGCTATCAAATTAAATAAATTAATCAAAAATATGAGTGATGATCCAAATGACCGCTCTTATTTTGGCCAAAAGCACATACAAGTTGTATGATACAACGTGCAGCACGAGCAACCTCTCTCTTTCCTTGAATCGTGGCAAGTGAAAAATGGAGCGAACGATTCCGTCGCTTTCAGGACGAAGAATCCAACAAAAGCGAATATGACATTTGTCTTGTTGCAATCGAATTGCTTGCGTTGAAAATTTTATCCCAGTTTCTGGACTATACATATGTACATGCAAATTATTTTGCGGAGTAGCACGTGATATACCAGATCGAGGAGATAAATACAAACATGGTTTAATGCTTCCCTGTGTGCAGACAAATATTGTGTGTTCAATGAGGGGTGTAGGTGGCAGAATCCTTTGGATAACATATGGCATCTCGAGTCAGGTAATAATTTGACACATTTTTTTATATTTCCTACACACTACTTTCAAATTTTCGACTGTCAACTACAATATTAAAAAAATAATTTTTTTTATAAAAAAATATACATGTAAATGTAAAATAAAAATAAATGTATGAATATTACTACTTTTTCTCTTTATCATTTATCGAAAAGGAAAAAAATTAGAACGTTTACTACATTGGGAAGGAAGTATTTCTCTATATCATTAATTTTATTTTTACTCAAGTGGATTATAACCTTTTACAACAAAGCTGATGAATAAAGGAAAATCTGAACTCACAGTTAACCGAAGCTTAAGTTTTGAGATGAGACCACTATAACAAAATGATTGTTTAGCGAGGTAATTTTCAGCGAGGAACACAATTTTGTTCCTAGAAGACACTTTCAGCAAGAGATGCATGTGTCAATTTCATTTCCAACAGCGATGAGCATGTTCCGAGAGGCCTACTCGGGAAGAGTTCCTTCCCTTAAAAGTTTCCGCAACGGAATTGGTACTTGCAGGCTGAAGCTAGGAAAACTTTCTAGTAAAACAATTGCTTTGTTGTCGTCAGATGTGTGCTGATGCTTCGATGAAGTTTATTTGAGGATCCAGATTTTTAATTATGGGGGATTCAATTATATAACATCTAAAATTTATTAGACATAATGTAAGAATATGAGCATAAGTATGAATCTATAAACTTAGTTATTGGTCTTGAGATTGAATGGGAAGTCTTATTGGGAATGGATTTTTAATCCATATCACACTGGACTACTATTTAAGGGATTAGTTTCCTATAAGGATTCTAATATGGGAATCCTTAGGGGATCTGGCAAAGATT